AATATTCAAAGCAAGGATGAATGGTAGACTTATAAATGTAAGATAGATTCTTCTTTTGATTTTATCAAGAATCTCTTAATATATAGCAGAAGCACCAGGCCAGATGTGGCAGAAATATTCAAAGCAAGGATGAATGGTAGACTTATAAATATGTAAGATAGATTCTTCTTTGGATTTTATCAAGAATCTCTAAATATATAGCAGAAGCACCAGACCAGATGTGACAGCAATATTCAAAGCAAGGATGAATGGTAGACTTATAAATATGTAAGATAGATTCTTCTTTGGATTTTATCAAGAATCTCTTAATATATAGCAGAAGCACCAGACCAGATGTGGCAGAAATATTCAAAGCAAGGATGAATGGTAGACTTATGAATATGTAAGATAGATTCTTCTTTGCATTTTATCAAGAATCTCTAAATATATAGCAGAAGCACCAGACCAGATGTGGCAGCAATATTCAAAGCAAGGATGAATGGTAGACTTATGAATATGTAAGATAGATTATGGCGAGAAAAAATGACCCAGTGAATCAAATTTACTTTTTTTTAGTCTATGATTACGTATCAATTCATCTGTTTGTACTTTCGTCGTCGTCGTCGGCATCCGTCCGTCTCGGAAGACGGTGGAGTACTGCGGTGCGCTACGAGCCTGGCCGGGATATATGGAGAACTAGGGTGGCCCAGACGTCTAGTTCCCCCTCTCGGCCTTTGCTAGCAGAGTCCAAAGGAGAGGATAAACCAATACAGTTTGGTACCAATGCGGCTGCAGGAATTGACTGAAGGTAGCACAAAGTGCTGTCCATCCGCCTTAGGGGCTCCACTATGGATTTGAATTCAGAATTGTCCTTCTCCTAGGCCAGTTGCCATCCAAGGCTATAGAACCCAGTCTGTCCTGCTATTTACCCATAGCTGGAGGGAGAAGAAGAGGATTCACACCTTTCCCAAGGTAGTGAGTGGTTGTCAAGCAGATCAGTTCCTAGGAAACTGATAGGCCGACACCAGCACATATGATTTGATTATAATGGTGAAGGCTTTGTGCGGACCCATCCACACATTTTGCAGGGCCGAATACAGGGACCTGGTGCACTACGTGCCACAAGGTCCCCAAACGACCCTCCGCAGGTTTTGAATACAAGGCAACTGGTCTAGGAGAAGGACAACTCTGAATTCAAAACCTAGTCAAGGTAAGGAACCTGGTCTGTCCTGCTATTTAACCCATAGCTGGAGGGAGAAGAAGACGATTCACACCTTTCCCAAGGGTATTAGCACGTAAGTGAATGTAATGGATTCGACTGCAATTCGAACTCAGCTCTCCGATTCCTCAATCCAAGCCGCTATCCATTACTGCCATCTCTTTTCTGATATAAAAAAACTTGTATAATAATAATAATAATAATAATAATAATAATAATAATAAGAAGAAGAAGAAGAAGAAGAAGAAGAAATTGGAGCCCTAGGACTGGTTGGAAAAGATTGCAGTAGACTATTTGAAGGGATTCCTGGAAGTCCATGCCTCAAGGAGATACAAAAAATTGTTCTGACATGTACAGCCCACACCTTACGAAGGGCTTTATCTATGTAATTTTTTTTTTTTTTTTTTTGTCAGTGAAAGTGTCATGACGCCATTTCTAACCTTAGGTCCCTAGGCGGGACCCGGAAAGAAATGTGTAAACGCCAGAAATCAAAGAAAATAATAATAATAATAAAAAGTTCAAACTACTATTTTCCCAGTTATAAGTAGGAGGTTTTGGTCGATAGCATCGAAAAAAATCAAAATAGTCAATTTTCTTATCTCTTCAGATGTCTACATTGCTTAGCTCTCCGTCTGGCTTGATGGGAAGTATCCATAATACAAAAATCTCCGTTTAAAAACCAAATCTGATAGAATATAAGGAAATCAACTCACCCGAAATGCAGGATCTGCGGGAAATAAGATTAAACTGTCGACCATATTATCTCAGGATGTCCGGAACTATATAAAAAAATGAATATACTCACAGACATACAAGGTAGCGACATATGTACACTGGAAGATATACAAGTAGCACAAAATCGAAACCACTAAGAGATGGTATGAGCACCAACCAGATACAGTTACCCAAAATAACGATGTAACTATCCTCTGGGACATGTCAATTCAAACTGGCAGGGAAATAAAAGCCAACAGATCTGATATTATCATAAAAGACAAGAAATTCAGGAAGAGTATGCTTATTGACATAGCAGTACCATCTGAGAGAAACACCTCCATGGAAATTATCGAGAAATTGTCTAAATACAAGGACCTGAAGATCGAGATTAACAGAATGTGAAGAATGAAGACTGAGACTGTACCAATAGTAATCGGAGCACTGGGCCTCGTGAGAAAAGGAATTGACAATTTTACTAACAGTGTCCCAGCTCACATAAACATGCAAGTTACCCAGAAAATCGCCCTACTAGGAACATCATATATAGTAAGAAAAGTGCTATCAGTTAAATGACAATTCTCCTATAGGGCCTAAGGACAATAGTTTGGACCCGGCTCTACACGATACAAAGCAGGAAACATAACACAATAATAATAATAATAATAATAATTAATGAAGCCCTTCATAAAGTGCGGGTTGTACAAATGAGAACAATTTTTTGTATTACTTTAAGGCAAGGGCTACCAGGAATCCCTTCAATGAGTTTATTGGAATCTTTCCCAATCAATCCGAGGGCTCCAACTACAACTGGATTTATCTGTGTCATTTTGTGCCACATTTTGGAAATTTTGATTTCAAGGTCCTTGTATTTTGATAGGTTTTTGAAAATCTTCAAAGATAGGTTGCAGTCTGTATGAACGGTCATGTCAATAAGGAGGCACTTTTTTGTCTTTGCGGTCTCTAACTCTCTTTTTCTCTTCAAAAATGCTCAGTGGAAAATGTCAAGGTGCCATTTCTGACCTTAGGTCTCCGATTGGGACCCGGAAAGAAATGAGTATACACCAGAAACCAAAGGAAATAAAGTACTACTACTACTACAAATAATAATAATGATAATCATCAAACCATATAATAATTGACTATATTTCTGAGATGAGGTATTATGTACACTATTTACATTATTCGGACTATTGTCCTCATCTTTGTCGCCATATTTATTACAAAGTTTCGGCCTTTCAGTATCTGTCTATATTTCTGAGATGAGGTATTATGTACATTATTTACATTATTCGGACTATTGTCCTCATCTTTGTCGCCATATTTACTACAACGTTTCGGCCTTTCAGTATCTGTCTATATTTCTGAGATGAGGTAGTATGTACACTATTTACATTATTCGGACTATTGTCCTCATCTTTGTTGCCATATTTATTACAACGTTTCGGACTTTCAGTATCTGTCTATATTTCTGAGATGAGGTATTATGTACATTATTTACATTATTCGGACTATTGTCCTCATCTTTGTAGCCATATTTACTACAACGTTTCGGCCTTTCAGTATCTGTCTATATTTCTGAGATGAGGTATTATGTACATTATTTACATTATTCGGACTATTGTCCTCATCTTTGTCGCCATATTTACTACAACGTTTCGGCCTTTCAGTATCTGTCTATATTTCTGAGATGAGGTATTATGTACATTATTTACATTATTCGGACTATTGTCCTCATCTTTGTTGCCATATTTATTACAACGTTTCGGCCGTTGTATGCTCCAGCCTTCTTCAGGTGGTTGGAGGTAATAAGGAGTGCCCGAGAAAGAGATAATAACAACAAAAAATTGCAATATGAGCTCTGGTAAAAACATGAAATGATAACAGCAAAAATAGCAATATGAGCACTGGCAAAAAATCGTTGCTGAAGACATTAGGTTTATAATACCTAGAAATTCATACGCAGATGTCCTCGAGGACACATTGCACAATGGATAAAGGCGTTAATTAGATCCAGTAACAGAGTGTGAATTCAATACCCGGTTAAGGAGAACATTCAGAGGGAAAATTAACAATTGACATCCATTAAACATGGCACGTGGAACTAGAACAGTCTACCCCAGTGAGCGAAATAATGGGTTAAGTTCGACATTCCAACCACCTGAAGAAGGCCGGAGCGTACAACGGCCGAAACGTTGTAATAAATTGGCGACAAGATGAGGACAATAGTGCGAATAATGTAAATATTTATTTATATAGTTCCTGTTACATTTGTAGAGGGAAGAGAGGTAAATCAGTAAATTTATGAGTGATTTCTTCCCTAAATCGTTTTCATAATCTATGCAAATAAATTAATCTGCATTTAGACCGAATTATTTCCCGAGCAAAATTAACAGCTTAATTAATCAATTGCTTTACTCCCACGTTTCTTAGATAGCAATCTTATTTCTTCAAGTCTTTCATGTGAGGCACGCAGATACTTTTGTTTATTATGTGATCATCTTGCTTCAACTTGGTCATGAAATAGGCTTTGTTGTCACTGTCTTTATCGTTCCGTTAGTAAGTTTTTTCTTCCAGGAGATAGTTCCATTTCAACATTATATTAAACGCATAAACGTTTAAACATATTAAATGCATAAACACAAAGTTTTTGAGCAGATTTTTATCATACCAGGAGCATTCAGTGAACCATAAAATACCATAAGTAAATTTTACCTTGAAAAAGTCCACAATGGATGAAACGCGTCGGCTAATATTACAGTTTTCCTATTGTCTTTTACATTCATATATATATATATATATATATATATATATATATATATATATCGGTATGTTTTCTATTCAATGTATAAAACTCGATCTACGCGATTGATATTCAATAACGAATTAAGTGCATTGACACGGAATTAAGTGCATTGACAAGGAAGACGATTGCTCAGAAAAAATGTTTATCGTTAGGTTAGAGATTATTGATATACGTAAGCACAGTGATAAAACACACACACACACACACACATATATATATATATATATATATATATATATATATATGGACAGTAATATAATATTTATATATTCATTTTCTTCAATGCTTACTTCATTCAATACGAACAGTAAGGAAATAGTTAGCATCACACACACACACACACACACACATATATATATATATATATATATATATAACAAAAAGAATAAAACTTACAAGATATTCCTTGTCAGTCCTATTCAATGATATATATATATATATATATATATATATATATATATATATATATACGCGTGCATGTCTTCATCTCTATTTAGCTTGTAGATATCTATGTCAATCGTTCTATAGTTTGTAAGTTTTGTTATATATATATATATATATATTTGTTATCAGTCCTATTCAATGATATATATATATATATATATATATATGTGTGTGTGTGTGTGTGTGTGTGTGTGTGAATATATTGTTTATTTAAGAGGCAATCCTTCATTTATACATGTTTCATTTTAATGACGACAGACACGGTACTGCGATTATAATTTTTATCAAATTTTTCTTGTGTTCGAACAAGTGGTTTCTTTTCTGAACACAGTGTGTGTGTAGAAACTGTCCAAATGTTCGATAATTCCGAACGCTTTCGGATATACTTTTAGCCATTATCAAGGAAGAGTTTATTTTTGTTTTTTAATTGGGTGTATCGGTTGTGTATAAGTTTCTAGATTTAGAGGGATGTTTTATTTTTCGAACACAGTCAGCACATTGTGGCCGTTTTAGTAGTTAATCTTATTGAGTGTTGGCCTTTTCTTTTTATTATTAAGACTTCCATTATTTTTAATCTTTTTTTACATGAGCATGAGGTTACTGTGTCTGTATTTTTTTACTAGTATGTTTCGGATGGAGTCTGGTAAGTTTATATGCGTTTTTAAATTTTATATATATATATTGGATTGAGGAATCGGAGAGCCGAGTTCGAATTCCAGTCGAATCCATTACCTTCACTTACGCGCTAATACCCTTGGGAAAGGTGTGAATAGCAGGACAGGCTGGGTTCTATAGCCTTGGATGGCAACTGGTCTAGGAGAAGAACAACTCTGAATTCAAAACTGTGTACCAGGTCTCTGTATACGACCCTTCAAATAGTATGGATGGTCCTGCACAAAACCTTCACCAATATAATCAAATCTCATGTGCCGTTGTCGGGCTGTCGGTTTCCTGGGAACTGATTTGCTTGACCCTCATACGTCGAATTCAAGAGTACATATATATATATATATATATATATATATATATATATATATATATGTGTGTGTGTGTGTGTGTGTGTGTGTGTGTGTCTTCATCTCAATTTCTTTATTGTCTATTTTAGTTTATAGATATCTATGTCAATCGTTCTATATTTGTTGCGTATGTTTCATTTAATTGATTCAAACAAGGCCTTATATCTTGTACATATTTTTACATCTTTCTCTATACATACCTATATATATATATATATATATATATATATATATATATATATCATTCAATCTTATCTCTGTGCTCATGTGTGCGTGAGAGTGAAGAGGGGTAGGCATGTGATGCAAAAAAGAAAAAATAGCTAAACACTGTGACCTTGATGGCAACTGTCAGATAAGAAACATTTCCCCCGATAAATAAATAGCCACTCCCCGCCGTATTTTACTCTCCGACACGACAAACTTTTCCGCTGTGAACAAACAGGTGCGTTGGGTGTCTATTTTAAGTGTATTTTCCTTCCTATGCACTGAATTTATACATACATACGTATATATATACAGAGTGTAGCAAAAATACTTTTACAAACGTTGGGGGCGCGTTCCTGGCACCAAAACAAAGTAAGTATATAAAACATAGAGACTGTCTTCTTTGTGGCCAGGCGTACGAACGGATGTTGGTCTTCCTCGATCCGTAATTTGTGGTGCCAACCCGAGGAAAGACAGCAGCAAAGATTGGATGAGTCGGCTGCCTTCCGTCTAGAAACACAATCTGATACAGCCGTGCAGTCTCGCGTCCATTACCATTCTTGCGCTTCTGTAATAAAAATCATATCTGCCTGTTCACGATATGAATATCTTGCCACTGTTAAACGGAAATACCTCGCAGTTAACTCACTACTTGTTATGCCATCATACCTATTCTATTGTAATAGACTCTTCCACAGATAATTAGTAGTAGCAGTGGCCAGTTGGGATCAGTGGTGTTGAGTGAGTCAGTCGATGTCGGACATTGAAGTATCAACCATCACAACTAGATTGCTGCGTCATTAACTCTTATTTGAAGTTCCTAACGTTTGTACGTCGAACCTAATTTAGGACGACTTATTGAAATACAAACCTCCACTGTGAAAACTACTCTACAACACTACTACACGCGATAAATGTTGTAGTCACTATTGTACACGAATAACAAATGTAACATAGTCTACACATATGTGTATATCTGTGCGTATGTGTCTATGTATGTGTGTGCGTATATATATATATAGATAGTCTCATCTATGTATCTACTCATATTAGTATATTCATATCTACATTCATAGTAGACCTTTCATATCTATCTATCAATCTGTCTGTCTGTCCGTCTGTCTATCTAAATATCCTTCATATTTATCTATATTTTCATATCTACATTAATAGTACGCCTTTCATATCTATCTATCTATCTATCTATCTGAGTGTTCATATCTATTTCACTAATTCTGTCCACTCCTCTCTTTCTCACTCTTTCTAGCTCACACACACACACTCTCTCTCTCTCTCTCTCTCTCTCTCTCTCTCTCTCTCTCTCTGTTATATATGGTACCTATGAACACTAATGGGTATGCCCCAATACTCATTAATATGTTGGACACTATTGTAAGTGGGGGTAATATGCTGTCTAAAGTAGCCACCATTAGCAGTGGTTTACCTACTTCACGCCGCTGGCGAGTATTGTATTTTGTTGATGTTATAAAGATTACCATTTTATTTCCAACCACTGTTTCGGTTATTCCTCATTCAGTAACCCTTTTGTAGGCTACAACAGTCTCTCTCTCTCTCTCTCTATATATATATATATATATATATATATATATATATATGTATATATATATATATATGTTTGTGTGTGGATGTATGTGTATGTGTTATATAACAATCGCTACATATCTATCTATATATCCGTCTCTGTTCATATCTATGTATCTATCTATATGTCTATTGTTTCTATCTATCTATCTATCCTCGTGTCTTCAAAAGGCTCTCAACGGTACGCCCGAACTTTTAATTCGCTATTACTACAACCTAGCAGTCCTTCTTCCTACAGCAGGCGCTTTTCTCTTTCCTTGCCACTCTTATGAAGCTTGCCTGTTTTTATTTTTCATTTTCATATTTGTACCCCAGTTGTTCATTTCTTTTCGTTTCTTTTATTTTTAAATTGTAGCCATCATTAACTTCAATTAAGCTACGTCCCTCTCCTAGTTTTGCCTTCCGCACTTTCACCGTGTTTTTTTTAATGTCTTTCGGCAATTAATAACATACCTATTTTAATAAGGGATTAGAATGAATTTGTTCTAGTAATATTCAAACAACGCTGGAAAAATATACCCGTTATTTAAACCGCATTACTTCTAGTTCGACTATAAGCAGTGGCAATAATAAATTTACATATAAAGGAGGTAGTTAGAAAATGTGGCACTGAGATCCGAACATATATTGAACTAGCGAAATAAGTATTGCAATAGCTATGCAAAGTCCTGAAAAACGGAAAAAAACAGCCTGATTAATATGTGGTATACATCTTCTTATATGGCAGTGAATGTTGGACAATCTCCCGACGGATGAAGAAAAATAAACGTAAACGTAGCAGAAATGTGATTCTACAGAAGGATACTGAGAATTTCTTGGACGGCGCGAGCAAGCAACAGAGAATTCTTAAAGAAAATGGCACTAGAAAAGAACACTCGTTTGACACTTTCATAATGCTCGTTGTAGTAGAGACTTTGTAATCGCAGATACAACTATAGTAACGCCGTTGAACAATACTGGCGGCAGACGCCTTCGAATAACACTCACACTAATAGTACTTGCTCGATAATACTCGCTCGACAAGTAATCCGTATAGTGATCCGAATAGAGAAATAGTATAGGGAATAGAGTAGAAAATAGTGGTCCGTATAGTAATAGAGGATAGAATAGAAATGGCGATCCGTATAGTAATAGAGGATAGAATAGAAATAGCGATCCGTATAGTAATAGAGGATAGAATAGAAATAGCGATCCGTATAGTAATAGAGGATAGAATAGAAATGGCGATCCGTATAGTAATAGAGGATAGAATAGAAATAGCGATCCGTATAGTAATAGAGGATAGAATAGAAATAGCAATCAGCAGTTTGGGGTAAATGGCTAGCTGAATGGGTGAGGGAGCCTTAGCAAAGGGAGAAAAACTGCTAAGTGCCACGTAAGATAGGAAGTTGTGAAGAGCCATAATCGCCTAACGTCCTGAAGAGACCCGGCACATGTATGACCTCAATTCTAGATACCATAGTTTAAATTTCGTCAGAACAGAAACCATGAAAGTATTTATAGAAAAGGCACAGGGAAGCTACTTAAGTCGGAGGGAAATTAACTGAAGCCGAGATGCCAGACAAGGACCAAGATTGCAGATTATTCGTTGGATTTCAACAGGAACCTCTAAATATATAGCACTATTCAGAGCAAAGAACGTGTGGTAGATTGATAAATATGTGGGATAGATTATGACGAGAAAAATTGTCTAGCACGATACAGGAAACCAACTCTCCTTGCAGCTGACCTAACAACTGATTCAACACTGAATCGTCGTTCTGGAGGTTAGCATCAGCCATGCTGATGGAAGGTAAATAGAGACGTTAATTTTAACAAGCCATTCCTTGCCCCAGTTAACAACAGAAACTAGATTTTTTTTTCTTTTCTTTTTATATTTGATCTTAACCTCCGTTTAGCTTTATTCTAATCAATTCCGGCTCAAGAACAAAGTTTCCCCGAGTCTCCGCAACCATCGGTTGCCCTGGCCTCGATAGCGAGCACCAATCTCTCTCTCTAGTGCAATAAGATGGTGCAGCTTCGGGCAGCTGTTCTCCAGGGCCGGACACCTCGCAGTATTTATTTTCCTCAATTGCGCCTCTGCCCCCCCCCCCACTTGACAGTGCCGCGACTGAGTCGCATTCTACCCGAAAACAGAGACGCTACTGAGAGATAATAATCCCTACCCCGCAAATGTCAGGTAATTTTGACGTATGTCAGAGTTACTATTATGTACTTACGTAAATATATATATATATATATATATATATATATATATATATATATATATATATATATGGGGAGGTGTTGAGAGGGTGTTGCTATAAAACCTACAACACAGAATCTTGTCTTCTACGTTTGAATTAGTGAGTCAAATCATTTGAACTTATTGATTGTCCCTTGGCCTGAGAATTTTATTACCCAATATTTTGATTATATCAACAAACCAGATTCATTGTCAGCTGCTCAAAACGCCCAACATCAGGTGTACTGTCCAGAATAATTGAATACTTCTTGCCTGCGTTCATCTTACTTTTTATTAAACCCAGGTTGTGTGTGTGTGTGTGTCTGTACGTTTATATATTGGATCGGATTTCCTACATTTTTCAACCGATTTCAACAAAACTTCATAGAACTACGTAAAATTACCTTGCGGTGGTTCTGACAGCGCCAAAAATTGGAAAAACACAATTGTTTTTGCACGAAATCAATTTGAAAACACGATTAAGAGGCATTAATGAAAGGGGGACAACTCATATCGAGTTATACTTATTATTATAAAATCCAGGTTGTGTGTGTGTGTGTGTGTGTGTGTGTGTGTGTGTGTGTGTGTGTGTGTGTGTGTGTGTGTGTGTGTGTGTGTGTGTTCGTTTATATATGGGATCGGATTTCCTATATTTTTCAACCGATTTCTTTTTTGGCAGGTAGTGTTTCTTATTGCATTGCACACTTTTTTTCTTTACTTTTACATTCAGAATGCTTTAAAAATTCCATTTAAAAGACAGTTGTTTATAATAAAATTCTATTCAATCGGTAGACTCATAACGATTGAAAACAATGTTTTTGTTTGAGTTTGACCAATTCGTAAAAAAAAAAAAACTAATTAAGACATGCGTGTCCGTCAACCTGAAACAGTAATCTTTGTCAATTTTATTTTTCAGTCTTTATGATGGTCGATACTTGATCTATCTCTTACTGTTACATCCCCGGGCAACGCCGGGCTCTACTGCTAGTCTTAGATAAAAAAAAATTATGTATGCTTTATAGATAAATGCTAGAAGCAGTTTAAGATATCTTTCCCTAAGTAATAATCAGTTTTTGCTTTATCTTGAGCAAATGTTAATTCAGGGAAGAGTATAAAGGAATTCTAGAAACTTTCTAAAATGAAAATAAGTTTGATTGCTATAAGTGTACAACGTTTAGTTTTTACCACAAAATATGTGTGTAACAAGCGCTCTTACGAAAGAATTCGCCCACCGCGAGATCTCTCGGCGAAATCTTTTCTCTTGCCTATCATTCAGCTGGTTAATATCAAATCATAGATCGAGTTTCCCTAGTATTTCAAATAGATCTTGCCTTATCGAATGCTTTCCCATCTACAGCAAGGCTATAGAGCTAGACACTATAAAAGGCTTACCGTGTTTTCCGGCTTACAAGACGCACTTTTCCTAAAAAAAGAAATAGTCTGAAAAATACGTGTGCGTCTTCCAAGACGAATGTAAGGCAACACCCAGGCTCAAGTAACCTTAGATGGTCAATTAATTGACTTGACTGAAAGGGGCGTGGATTTATACGTTGAGTCATTACACTATATCTAATTTAGTCTTTTATATGATGTAAACGCAGTACACTATTGCCGCCATCTTTGGCGCCATATTTATTACAACGTTCCAGCCGTTGTACGCTCCGGCCTTCTTCACGTGGTTGGAATGTCGAACTGAACACTTCTATTCCTCTTACTGGGGTGGACTGTTTTAGTTCCACGTGCCATGTCTAATGGATGTCAGTTATCAGTTATCTCCTGTTAATTCCCCTCTCCAAGTTCTCCACCGCCTTAACCAGGTACACACACACACACACACACATATATATATATATATATATATATATATATATATATATAGAGAGAGAGAGAGGGAGATTGATAGATATATAGATAAACATTTAAAATAGAAATGCTTTATAATTCTTCTCTCCAAGTACTCCACCGCCTTAACTAGGTATTGAACTCACACTCATTGGATCTTGTCACTGGATCTAACTAACGCCTTTAACTACTGTGCCATGTGTCCCTGAGTACGAATTTCCGGGTATTATAAACCTAAAAATGGTTGCTGAAGATATTAGATTTATAATACCCTGAATTCCACACAGAATAAAGAGTGTGAATTCAGTACCCGGTTAAGGCGGTGGAGAACTTGGACAGAGGAATTAAATGCCATCCATTAAACATAGCAGGTGGAACTAGAACAGTCTACCAGTAATCGAAATAAAAGGGTTCAGTTCGACATTCCAACCACCTGAAGAAAGAGCGGACAACGGCTGAAACGTTGTAATAAATATGGCCACGAAGATGAGTAAATAGTGTACATAATACCTCATCTCAGAAATATAAACAGTAACCTCATTACTTAGACGTTACAAGTTTTTCTAAAACTATAAACCTTCCTGGAGCTGAGCCACAAACTTAAACATGCTCTGTTTACTGTCAGCAGCAGGAGCCTTTCTGCTCTTGACAACTATGTCATTGCCAT